CTTTTTTTGTAAGAATCTCTTGCAAAGATTCGATTTCCTCTATAGTTTGCAAAGGAAAAGACAATTTATTCAAATCGTCATCTGGCGTAGGACTACGATAATGTATCAGACGCTTGTCAACATTCAAATTCAAGTTACTTATAACTTGATATTGCTCCGTTAGATGATTCATGTCAAATTTTATATCTGACAATGTTCTCTCAATCCGTTGAAATTTATCTGACAATGTTCTGTCAATACGTTGAAGAGAATCTAATAATGATTACAAAATACAATATATCATAATGTTTCAGAAAATATTAATATTTATAGGAAAAAAAATTAATTCAATCACTCGCACGTTTATTGTAACTTGTAAAATTATCTTATTAAATTACATATGATACCTTGTCTAAAAGTATAATATATTCGATGTGTTCTACTTACTTTTAATAGCAATATATTCCTGTCTTAATTCAGTATCTTCGTGTACGCTGGTTGCAGAATTTCCAGTAAGAACTTTGCAATTCTTGGAAATATTTACGTTAACTTCTCGATTACCCAAATTGATATCTTTTTGTCTTCTTTCTTCCATAAACATGGATTGTTGAGAAAACGAAGCTCTTGATGATTGGTTATCTGACTCGTGACTATTTTCTTTTTGTTTATCTCTTGTATCTAAAAAGTTATATAATATATATGTGTGTTAATAAATCTGTAATATGGAAGATTATTTAAAAGACAGTGTTAATATCATAAATATTTTTTGTACTTAATTAGAATCTTCAATATATTTAAAATATGTCACTATTCAACATAAAACGAAATAAAATATAATTTTGCAAACTTTTCTGAATGAATATTAAATAGATTCAAGCATATATGTATATCTAAGAACAGATATGTAATAAAAACAATTTTAATATACTTACTCGTATGAATCTTAGGCACTTTTGGAAATGGCGGTAAGCAGCTCTCAGAATCGGTAGAATCGCTTTCAATATGAACTGATTTTTTAGCTCTGATTTTTCTTCGTGTTTTATCATCAGTATCCGTATTAATATCAGAATGCATTTCAGCTTTTTTTAATTTTTTACGTGCATCATCATATGAATCTAAAAATGTAAAATATCAAATAATCTTCATAAACATTGATATGACAAAATGTTTATATCAATAGTTCGCAAATCATAGAATATATTAAAAATCCTTATTTATATTTACTTACCAGATATACTAAAAAGTCGTTTAATTGGCCAAGATAACCAATCATCTTGAGGTATTTGTCGTCTTTTAATCGCTTTATTTACATCTTCATCTGTTTTATAATTTGGATACCAACATTCATTTATATCTCTTTGAATCCAATTATCCGGTACTACTTGTATCCCATCTTCAAATTCTATTACATGAAATGTATCTGTACGAAAATCCATCTCATAAATTAATATCTGAAATCTGAAAAATATATGTTGCACATTGTGCATACCAACAAGATATATGAAAAAAGATATACATACATTCTGTGTGTAACAATGGTACTAGTACAAATGTTGAGTTACAAAGATTAAATTTCATGTATTTCATTTTAATAAATGTCAAAGGCCAGGCTGATAAGTGTCCATACTCTTTTGATACATATATTCCCAGCAAGGAGGAATTACATGGTTTAGTATACAAGTTATCCAAACCAATTAATTTCCGACCAATAATGTAAAGATCATTAGCAGTTGTAGTGGCAATGTTCTCTATGATGATAATCGAACCATCTTCTAAACTACAGCAGTTATTTGGATGATGGATAGATAGTGTGAAATCTGCTGTTACAAATGTTGAATATTGAGGACTATTTATTCCATTCAAAATTGGACCCGCATTATGTATTCCATATACACCTTTTTTTCGGTGTTCTTTTTTATATGGTAAACATCTAAATTCTGTTATACGATTGTTGAGTTGTTGCAAAGGACGTTCAGCTTTTCTGAGAAATCGTTTCAATATTCTCAAATAATTTTCATATCGAAAAGCACTAAATGTATCCAATGTACCAAATTTTCTAACATCATCTGCTAAATGTATTAGTGCATGTATATTGTGAGAGGTATGCTGTGGCCCGTATAAGATAATAAAAGATTGCACAAAATGTTGTAATAAAGATTCCGCATAAGAAACATATAAAAGATCTGGAGAACATAATAGCCGAATGGCCACGTGCAATGTTATAAAATTGTTGTAAACATCTTTATTTACATAATTCTTTAAAATAATTGGGCCAGTATATAAGAGGAATTGTCTCAACTCCGTGGCTTTCCATAAGCTTAAGAAATCCAAACTCCGTGGTTTACGGACAAATTCCATAGGTATCGACGTCCTCATGTCAATTAACAATCTCGAAATGCCGTTTACTGTTTGTATTGGTAATCGAACATTCAATGGCCCAGTTAGCCAAAAATTCAGTATTTTTTTTACTACACCAATGCAAACCAAGTGCATATAATCCTGTCTCTTATACACATCTCTG